GGGATGGAGATCTGGCAGAAAAGGTGGGAGAAAGACCAGAAAGGCAAAGAGTATCATAAAGTTCAAAAGACAATCACAATTCATATTTATGAAGAAAGAAACAGAAGGGAGGAAATCATGAGAGCTAGACTCAGACTAAATCACACAGCATTGAATAGTACTCTGTATATCATGGGGGAAAGTGACAGTGACAAGTGTAGGAACTGTGGAGTTAAAGAAAATGTGGAACATATCTTGTTACATTGTGACATCTATAAAGCTGAAAGAGAAAAACGAAAGGATCAAGTTGAGTGTGGTTGGTATTCTGGGAACAAAAGGAGAAGGAGTAAGAGCTACCAGAAAGGCACTGTTTACCTTTCTGAGTGAAACTGGGGTAGGAAAAATAATCTAACATTAGGTTAAAATAGATCATGGATTGTTGTTTTGTTTTGTTTTATTTATTTTATTTTTCTTTATTTTGTTTTATTAGAGATGGAATGACATGATGATAAATACTATAATTGGATTATGGATTTTTTGTTTGGCCGTGCCATCAGAGTCCGAGTTGGCAATTCTAATTCTCGAAGATATGAAGTTGAAAATGGAACCCCGCAGGGGAGTGTAATTAGTCCTCTTTTGTTTTCTATCATGATAAATGATATATATATACACAAGTAGGATCTGATATTGGTAAGTCACTTTTTGCAGATGATGGAGCTATTTGGAAAAGGGGCAGAAATGTAAATTATATTGTAGCTAAGATTCAGAAAGCCATTACGGAAATTGAAAGCTGGTCTCTGACATGGGGGTTTAGATTATCAGTGGAAAAAACTGAAACTTTATTTTTTATATGAGGAAAAGGATAGGTGAGGAGGTTAGGTTAAAACTTTATGGACAAGAACTAAAGAAAGTGAAGACATTTACATTTCTGGGAATATGGTTGGACGAGAGAGTCACATGGAGTACTCACATTGATAAAGTAGTAGATAAATGTAAAAGGGTTTTAAATCTTATGAGGTGCTTGGCAGGCACTAAGTGGGGGGCTGATAAAGCTGCTTTGAGGAACGTATACACAGCCTTAATTAGATCAGCCATAGAATACGGACTAATAGTGTATGGTTCAGCAGCATATTCTTCTCTTCAAAAATTAGATAGAGTGCAGGCACAAGCACTAAGGATATGCTGTGGGGCAGTCAGATCTACACCAGTGTCGGCACTTCAGGTAGAGGTCGGAGAAATACCAATTTTTTTGAGGAGAAAACAGTTAATTGTTAATTACTGGGCAAATCTACAGGGCCATAAAGATACTCACCCTACTAAACAAACTGTAAAAAAAAAAGTTGGGAAAGTAACAAAATTAAAAAAGAAAGTTTTTGTGTTTGTGTTTCGGAATTATGTAAGGAATTCAAAGTTAAAGAATGGAATATTAGTCCGACGGTGTTGTTATCAGCTGTTCCACCATGGTTGCTACCTCAACCTAGATTTATCCTTATTGAAACGGTTACATTCAATGAAAAACAAAATCAATGTACAGGCTTATGTGAATACTGTTCTACATGAACAATATGGGCAGTTTATACAAATATTTACTGATGGATCCAAAAATCCAGAAAATGGTGAAACTAGTTGTGCATTTTATGTTCCTGAATTAAAAGTAAAAGTGGGAAAGCGGACGAGTGATCACACCGCAGTATACAGTAGAGATGATGGTGATGGCTATCTCACTAGCACTTCAGTGGGTAGAGGAAATACAGCCAATGCGAGTGGTCATTTGCTCTGACTCTAGTGCAGCTCTGGAGAGTATAAACAACTTCTCTTCAGAATGTCGTCAGGATATTTTACATGGAATTTTACACATGTTTAGGTTAGTTCATCTGGGAATTGTTGTTCAATTTGTGTGGGTTCCAGCGCATGTGGGTATTAGAGGGAATGAAGTAGTGGATCAACAGGCAAAATGTGGTTTGAAAGCAAACCAGATTGATATTATGGTACCCATCAGTAGAGCAGAAGTAAAATCTGTTACAAAAGTTGTTATCAAGCAACAATGGCAAAAACTATGGGACAGTAACACCAAAGGAAGACATTTATACCAGATACAAAGGGAAGTAGGAACGGGAAGCACTTGGGGGAGTAGTAGAAGAGAACAGAGCATTAACAGCAGGATAACATTGGGTCACTCTGGATTAAACTCATCACTGCATCTGATTGGAAAACATCCAAATGGCAATTGTGATGGTTGCCAACAACCAGAGACAATACATCATGTATTTTTTAGCTGCCGGGATTATAACAGACAAAGACTCATTCTGAAAACTGCACTGGAACAACTCAACGTCAAGGACATGGATTTCAAGTCAATATACGAAAGTAAATCAAGAAATGAAGCAAACAAGCTGATCTTCAAATTCCTCAAAAGCACTGGTCTGAGGACAAGGGTTTAATATAAACATTTAATAAATCAACAGTAGGTGGCGATATATGCTCCAAGTGGAAGCGATTCGCCATTAACGAAAAGAAGAAG